TCATCCCGGATGGGGAGGGGGCCGGGGCCGGGCCTCTCCCTCCCCCCCACCTCCCATCCCAGCTCTTTTTATTGGATCTCATCTCCCCGGAGCCTTTTCCAGCTGCCTTTCGCCCAGCACGGGCCGTCCCAGAACGGGTCTCCTGGAATTCTCGTCTCTCTTTCAGACTTTGCGTGAAGTTTTTGGGTCGTTCCCTTCCGTTTCAGGGTATAAAGCAGCTTCTGGAATTGCCACTCTTCCTCCCACATCCCAAAAATCCTGGGGTGGGAAAAGGTGTGAGGAGGCACCGGCGTTCCCTGCTCCCGAGAAATGGAGTTGGACACAAACTTAGGAGGGGAGGGAAGCACTTTTTTTTGGGGGGAGGGAGGAATTTCCTCCTTTCCTGCTTTTCCTGCTTCCCATCCTTAGATTTGTACTTGACCCGGAGCTGCAGAATCCGGGCACATCCCGAGCTGGTGGTGGGGATCCAGAATTGGCAGATCCAGACTCTGGGAGATCTGGAATTTTGGGGGATCCAGACTCTGGGAGATCTGGAATTTTGAGGGATCCAGACTCTGGGAGATCTGGAATTTTGGGGGTTCCAGACTCTGGGAGATCTGGAATTTTGGGGGTTCCAGAATCTGGGAGATCTGGAATTTTGGGGGATCCAGACTCTGGGAGATCTGGACTCGAGTGATCCAGACTCTGGGAGATCCAGGCTCTGGGAGATCTGGAATTTTGGGGGATCCAGGCTCTGGCAGATCTGGAATTTTGGGGGATCCAGGCTCTGGGCGATCCAGGCTCTGGCAGATCTGGAATTTTGGGGGATCCAGGCTCTGGGACCAGAGTGTCAGAGCAGGGACAGGTGTTGGGATCTGGGAACAGGAGCAGAACTCCTGGAGCAGGTTTTCCAGAGGAATTCCCAATCTGCCACATCCCGGTGCCTGCTCCCGCCCGTTTGTCTTCCCAAATCTTCCGTCTTATTCCCGTTCCCTTTCCCTCCCGGGAGCAGCCGTGTCCCTCTGGCTTCCAGGGCCGTTTTTAGGACATTTCAGGGATTGTTTGAAATCCCCGTGCTCCTCCTGCTCCAGAGAAAATCTCCGCGAGCCACCCCCAGCCTCCCCTTACCTGCCTCAGAATTCCTGCACGGATTCCTCCGGATCCCTGGAGCAGCAGGGTTGGGATCGGCGCAGTTTTTCTTCAACCCTGGAGTTTTTTGGGGTTTTTTTTTTTGGTTTTTTTTTTTCCCTTTCCCTTTCCAGCGGCGTTCCCGGATCCCGCTGCCGGCCGCCGAGCCGTTAAATCCTAATTACCTTTTTAGGTTATTATCCTTTTCCTGGCGTTCCTTGGGAACGCTCGCCCTGGGAGCCAGCCATTTTGTGTTCCGTGCCGGAGCGCTTTTCACGGCGCCGGCGTCGGGATGTGCCGAGCCCAGATGGGATCGGAGCCGCCTCCGTGCCCCGCGCGTTTCCCACGGGGTTCGGGGGGGGGGGGGGTTCGGGGCGGGGGGGGGTTCGGTTTGGGAGCGGGAACGCGCCCAGGTGAGCTGCAGGTGTTGGGTCTCGCCGGTTCCTTGCTCCCTGAGCTCGGGAAAACGGGATTTGAAATGGATTTAAAGGGATTTTATCCCGGTGGTGATCCTGGGTTTGGAGCAGCGGGATGTGCTGGAACCTCTCGGAGCTCCTTGGCTCCAGGGATGGATGTTCCCGTGGGGCCTTTGGGGTCACGCTGGGTTTGGATGCTGGCTCTCTCCTGGGATTTGTTCTGGCATTCCAGCCCCAAGTGGAGACTGGGAGATGCTCTGGGTCCCCTGAGGCTGCCTCAGGTGCCTTTTCCTGGGAATACCAGCGGCTTCCCAGGGATGGTTTATCCCTCATTTCCCATCCTTGCTCCCTTGCATCCCAAGGATCCACCTCGGCTCCTCCAGGGCTGCCAGCGGCTCCGCTCAGTGGAATTCCAGCACTGCTGGAGTGGGGCTGGGAAATGGGAGGGCGCTGGGGAGACCTCGTGGTGGATCAGGGATCCCTCGTGGTGGATCAGGGATTGTTCCTGGTGGATCAGGGATCCCTCGTGGCACTGGGAGCATGTGGATCCCTCGTGGTGGATCAGGGATCATTCCTGGTGGTGGATCAGGAATCACAACCCCTCCATGAGCTCCGGAGGGCCCGAGGCCAGGAATTGGGGCTGCGGGACCAAATGGGGTTTGACCCAACAGAAAACCCTCCAAGGAGGCTGGGAAGGGGCTGGGACCTTCCTGGATGAGTTCCAGCTGGAATTAACTCCTGGTGCTGCCACGACTTGGTTCTGGATTCCATCGGGTCCATCCCGGGATGTGTTCCCTCCTGGCTGCATCTCTCCCTGGACATTCCCACTTCTCCCTGGACTATTCCTTCTTTTGGCCCACCTCTCTCCTCCCAGCCTTTCAAATCCTCCCGCCGAGGTTTTTTTTTTTTTTTTGCTGTTGGATTTTTTTTTCCCCCCCACACCGCGGGCTCCACATCCGACACCCATGGAAAAAGGGGCGCTGCTGTTTTTTTTTTTTTTTCTGGGAATGCCAATCCCGTCCTGCCGGGCCCTGGGGAGCGAGAGCAGCACCCGGAGCCAGCCGAACGTGCCCAGGAGCGCGTGGTGCCGCAGCCGGCACCGAGGATTTGGGAATCGCCGTCGGGACGGAGCCAGGCGGTGCCCGGGATTCCTGGAAAGCTCTCCAAGGTCAGCTCCAGCCCACCCTGCTCATCCCGCTCTGGAATCTCGGCTCTGCCCCGGCTCCACGTTCCCGTTTCCAGGCGCTCCCGGGGATGATCCCGGTCGGAGGCACCCCCATGGATTTAGCTCCTGAGTTTTGCCACCGTTTGGGAATTCCAGCGAGGAGGATTTCTTGAGCTGGAGCTGGAGGGAGAGGCCGAGGCCGTTCCCTGGGATGTGGCGGATCCCTGGGAGCGGTGCCGGAGGGCGGCGGGGCCGGATGATCCGGTTTGGGATGTGCCAGGACCAGAGCAGAGCCTGTCCGACCTCAGAGCTGCTGGATACCCCGGGACTGCAATAATTCCTGCTCTTTGCTGTGGATTTCTGCATGGAATCAGGAGCTCTCCCTTGGCTCTGGAAGTTCCCAGTGGATCCTCCCCTTCCCCCTCCAGCCAAAGGGCCCCATTCAACACCGAATCCGGAGCCTAATTTAATTTTTATTGGATCTGGCTGAGCCTGGAAAACCTCTGGAGTGGATTAAATGGTGGTGGGCCCCATTCCTGGTGACGGCACTTTGGATTTGTTTGGAATGCCAGAGGGGAGGGCGCTGGGAGCCCACCTTGGTGATGGAGCAGGAAGCGTCCACATGGGTGAGAATACCCCCGGAATTCCTGCGGGATCCTTCCACCCGCTGCAGAGGACGAGCAGGAAGTTGGTCCAGGAGATCCTGGAATCTCCCTGCTGGATCCCGGCTCGTTATTCCCAGCAGGGATTATCCTGTGGGATGTTGGTCCTGTGGACCTCTCCCTCCTCCTCCTCCTGCTCCTCCTGGTCTCTCCTCGCCGGGAGCAGCCCTGAGCCCGTTCCTGGCTGCTGTCCCGGGATCCTGGCGCGTTCCCAGCGGCTCCAGCCGCAGCGCTGGGCGCGGCTCCGAGCGCTCCCGGGGTGTCTGGAACATCCCGGATCCCCCGGGGTCACTCCTGCGGGACGGGGGCGGGGGCAGCTCCCCCGGCCTGTCCCGGCTTGCTGGGCTAAATCTGGGAGACGTGCGGAGAGACGGGATCGGCAGGTCGGGAAGAGCCCTGGGTGCTGCCTCCGAGTCTCATCCGGCTTTTCTTGGGATCGTGTTTGGGATTTCCATGGGTTTTCCTGCCGCCCTGCCCTGCTCCTGGTGTCTCCAGCGGGAGCTGTGCTGGTACAGGCTGTAGGGATGTGTCGTTATTCCAGGGATTTGAGCCTTGTCCTGGCAGGAGTCGGGCTCGGGGAAGGTTTATCCCAGAGCCGGGTCCAGGCAGGTGTGGAGCATCTCCAAGTGCTCGGGATCCGGCTGCTCAGAGCACGGACACTTCGTGTTCCCTGCGGAGCGAGTCATTCCCGATGCTCCCGAGCCGGCCACATGGAATTCCCATGGAATTCCCACCTCTTCCCCAGGTGTTTGTCCTGCTCCCCGGCCCCGCTCCGAGGGAAAGGCCTCGCCCAGCTGGTTTGCAGGTGGAGCTCCCGTGGCTCTTTGTTGTCGGAGCTGGTTCCTTATCAGCCTGGGAGCGGGATTGGGATGGGGTTGGGATGGGCTCCAGGCTTGGGATGGGGTTGGGATGGGCTCTCTGTTTTCCAGAGGGCATTCCTGCACCTGGAGCTGAGGCGGGGGAACCGCAGAGGTGGGAGGGCGGGGATGGACCCGCCCATGCCTCCATCCCGGAGCTGCCGAGCATTCCTGCCTGGAAAAGCAGCGGTGGGGATTTCCTGGCGTTCCAGGGCTCCCCAGGGGCTTCATCCCAGCTCCCCTTCCTTGCTGAGCCGCATCCATGGGGTTCAATCCCGAAGGAGGGACCGTGCTGCCGTTCTCAGGGAATTCGGGGCCTTTTGGAGGTGGGAGCTCCTGACCTGGGTGGGGAACTGGGGAGGTCGGAGCTCTGTGAAGTTGGAGCTCTCCATGAGGGTGGAGCTCTGTGAGGAGATCAGAGCCCTCCAGGAGGTCAGAGCTCCGTCAGGTTGGAGCTGTCTGAGTCCTCGGAGCTCCATGAGGGGATTGGAGCCCTCCAGGAGGTCGGAGCTCTGTGAGGAGATCGGAGCCCTCCAGGAGGTCGGAGCTCCGTGAGATCGGAGCCTTCCACAAGGTCGGAGCTCTGTCAGGTTGGAGCTCTCCAAGGCCTTGGAGCTGCATGAGGAGATTGGAGTTCTCCAAGGGGTCGGAGCTCTGTGAGGAGATCGGAGCCCTCCACGAGGTCGGAGCTCAATGAGCCTGGAGCTCTCCACATCCTCGGAGCTCCGTGAGGAGTCGAGATCTCTCTGAGGAAGCCGAGCTGAGCTCGGGGGAGGGGGATTGCTGGGGTGATCCTCGTGGCTGACAGTGTCCCTGTCCCCCAGGATGGACCGCATGACGGAGGACGCGCTGCGCCTGAACCTGCTCAAGCGCAGCCTGGAGCCGGCGGAGGAGCGCGAGGACGTGCTGGCCAAGCGGCTCAAGATGGAGGGGCACGAGGCCATGGAGAGGCTCAAGATGCTGGCCCTGCTCAAGCGCAAGGACCTGGCGGGGCTGGAGGTGCCCCACGAGCTCCCGGTGAAGCCGGACGGCATCAAGGGCTACGAGGAGAAGCTCAACGGGAGCCTGCGGCCCCACGGCGACGGGCGGAGCGCGGCCCGGCCCGGCAAGGAGAACATCAACGACGAGCCCGTGGATATGAGCGCCAGGAGGAGGTGGGTGCCGGGAATTCCGGGGTGGGGGGAGCCGGGTTGGGAATTAAATGGGATTTTTTGGGAGGGTCCTGGGGAGCCCTGTCGGTGATGGCCATGAGATGGGGAATGGTGGGATGAGGGGGAGTGGATTCCCACAGACAGGGCGGGTGGGATACAGGGAAGGAATCAGGAAGGAATTGTGAGGGTGGCGCAGGTTATGCACAGGGATTTGTGGAGTTTTCATCCCTGGAAGTGTCCGAGGCCAGGCTGGACCAGGCCTGGAGCAGCCCAGGATGGTGGGAGGTGTCCCTGGAGGGTCCTGCTCCCAGTGCAGAGCCGTGGGCTCATCCTCAGAGGAATTCCTTGGATGTTTGCAATGCGAGGTTACCCAGTGGGGCACCAGCATCGGACACCTGGACCAGCTGATTCCTTGGATCAGGAAATCAGCCCTGCAGAGAGGTGGGAATATTCTGCTCTAAGTTGAGAAGTGAGACTGGGAATGTCTCATTTTCCTGGATTTTCCTTGGGAATGTGCTCCACATCTCCTCACCTCTGCCTGCCTCCCTCGCTGTGGCTCCTCCTCCGCCGATTCTGTTGGAATTCTGCTCTTCCCTGGACAAAGGAAATCCCACAATTGCTGATTCCTCATGGATGGGTTTTCCCTCTTGGATTTGGACTCTGGCTCTGCCTTATTCCCCCGATGGAATGTCAGTAATCCAGCCCGGATGTATCCAGATGCTCCTGCAGAATCATCCCCAGGAGCCACAGGACAGCCCTCACTCATCCAGGAAAACCTGGGATGGCTCTGGATGTGCCAGCCCGGTTTGGAACTCCTGGGATGCAGCTTGGTTTGCCTGGATGGGCTCCCATTGGCTCCTTCTCCTTGGGATGCCCTGGAATTTCTCTGCTGGAATTCCATGCCCTGGTGCTTTGGAATATCCACAGAAACAGCTGGAATGTTTGGGATTGAAGGCAATCCCGGCTTTGAGCATCCTCCTGCCCTCGGAGCAGCCAAATCTGGGAGCTGGGATTTGACTCCGTGCTCCCTGCTGGGTGTCCAGAGCCCAAAGTTTGGGATGAGAAATTCCATGGCCTGCCCTCACTGCAAGGACCTTCCAGGGAGCTGGAATTACCTCTGAGCCCAGCGTTCCCACTGCTCCATGCTGGATTATCCCACAGTTCTTCAAGGCTCTCCAGCAGCAGGAATGAAATCCAGGATAGCAAAGGGATTTTCTTGGAGTGTCCCTGCCCGGGATGATCCCGCCTGGATCCCGCTGGATTCCACCACTGATTCTTGGTTTATTTCTTTCCCCTGCTGCTCCTTTTCTTTCCCAATCCCGCTCATGGATCAGTTGGATATCCGTGCAGGTTTTCCTTTATGGAATGAGCTTTTCCAGTAGATTTGGGTTGGGAATGGTGCCCTGAGTGGGGGATCTCAGTCCCTTCTCCACCTCAGTGAGGACCAGCAATTCCAGGCTGGGGTATCCCTGCCATTCCCTCCCATCCCAGCTCCAGGACACGCTCCTGATTCCCACCTGATTGATTGATTCCCACGTGATTGATTGATTCCCACCCGATTGATTGATTCCTGCCTGATTCCAGGGTGGGATTTGCATTTTTGGACAGGGACCTGGCGTGGGGGGGGGTGAGGGAGCCCTTCCCTCCCCTCCTGGCATTCCATGATCCATGCTGGAACGAGGGGGATCCTGCTCCCCCAATCCCACTTTTTTTTGGGATCCTGCTGCCCCAATCCCACTTTTTTCGGGATGCTGCTCCCCCAGTGCCCCTTTTTGGGATGCTGCTGCCCCAATCCCAGTTTTTGGGATCTCACTGGGGTTCCTTTCTCCCCCGCAGTGACCAGGACCGGGGCCGCCTGACCCCGTCCCCCGACATCATCGTCCTGTCGGACAACGAGGCCTCCAGCCCCCGCTCCAGCTCCCGCATGGAGGAGCGGCTCAAGGCGGCCAACCTGGAGATGTTCAAGGTGAGGGAACGGGAATTCTGTCCCGGGAAAGGCTCGGGGTGGGCCGGCTGAAGGATTTGGGGGCGTTTCTCAGTCAATTCTGAGCGCACCCCCCCCTCCCCCCAGGTTATCTCACCTGTGGTTCAAGTGATTCCCGCTTGGATTCAGCTCCCCCCGCCGCTTCCTTCCTCGCGTTTTCCCGGTGTTTTCCCTTCCTCACGTTTTCCCGGTGTTTTCCAGGGGAAAAGCCTGGAGGAGAGGCAGCAGCTGATCAAGCAGCTGCGGGACGAGCTGCGGCTGGAGGAGGCGCGGCTGGTGCTGCTGAAGAAGCTGCGGCAGAGCCAGCTCCAGAAGGAGAACGTGGTGCAGAAGGTGAGGGGGAGGGCACGGGGCCTCACTGATTCCACCACCCCCCGGGATGACAAATCCAGGGATTCCTGAGCTCTGATCCCTCTCTCCTTCCCCTCCCTTCCCCAGACCCCCGTGGTCCAGAACGCCGCGTCCATCGTGCAGCCGTCCCCTGCCCACGTGGGACAGCAGGGCCTGTCCAAAATCCCCTCCCGGCCCGGAGCCCAGGGGGTGGAGCCGCAGAATTTAAGGACATTACAGGTGAGCATTCCCGGGGTTTTTTTTGGTTTTTTTTTCCCTCTGATTTTGCTGGATGCACGCAGACCTTTTTCCAAGGGGAATTCCTGCAGTTCCTGGGAATCCCGGGGTGGGATTTGGGTTTGTCAGGAGTTAGACTCGGTGATGCTTGTGGAGCTGGATATTCCATGATCCTGTGAATGTCCCAGCTGGAGTGGGATGAGGATGGTGGGAATTCTCCAAGGCCTTGCTGAAAAGGAAAAGAAAAAGCCACTGGAAGTGTTTTGCTCCATGGATTTCTGCCTCTCTCTTGGACCATGGAGCAATTCCAGTTTTCTGCAGGAAGCAGGGATGCGCCAGCTTAGGCCACAGTCCTGCAAAATCCAGCAAGAGCGAGGGATTTGGGGCATTAACGAGGATCCTGGATCAGGGAACCAGCACTCCACATTCCCCTCATTTCTCCACCACCCCATCCATCCCCGAGCTCAGGGAGCCCTGTGGGGACGGTGGGGTCGTCTCTGTGCCCGTTCCTGGGGACGATCCCATCATCCCATTCCCGGATTCCCTCAGGGTCACAGCGTGATCCGCTCGGCCGCCAGCTCGGCGCTGCCCCACATGCTCATGTCCCAGCGGGTGATCGCCCCCAGCCCGGCCCAGCTGCAGGGCCAGCGTGGGCCCCAGAAACCCGGCCTGGTGCGCAGCTCCACGCCCGGCATGAGCCCTGCCATCAACTACCAGCCGGTGGGTACCGGGCTGGGGGGGCTGGGGGGCACCCGTTTGGGCCAGTTATGCATTGGTTTGGGCCGGTTGGGCACTGGGGTGGGCTGGTTGGGCACTGGTTTGGGCTGAATTTCACTGAGTTGGACCAGTTGGGCACCGGTTTGGGCTGGGTTGGGCCAGTTGAGCACTGGTTTGCACTGGTTTTGCCCGATTTTCACTGGGTTGGGCCAGTTGGGCACTGGTTTGGGCTGGTTTGGCTGGGCACTGGTTTGGGCTGGGTTGGGCCAGTTGGACATTGGTTTGGGCTGGTTTGGGCATTGGTTTGGGCTGTTTTTTACTGGTTTGGGCTGGGTTGGCTGGGCACTGGTTTGGGCTGGTTTGGGCACTGGTTTGGGCTGGTTTTTACTGGTTTAGGCTGGTTTGGATGGGCACTGGTTTGGGCTGCTTGGGCCCCGGTTTGTACCGGTTTGTACCGGTTTGCACTCTTTCTTTACCGGTTTGTACCGGTTTGGGCACTGGTTTGGGCACTGGTTTGGGCACCAGTTTGTACCAGTTTGCACTGGTTTGCACAACCCCCACCCCAAGGCCACACCCTCTCACCCCCTCCTCTCCAGAATTCCTGGGATTCCCCAGTCCTGTGTCCCCCCCCAACAGCTCTGGGTGCTCACCCCAAATCCCCAATCTCACCCCAAATCCCCAATCTCACCCCAAATCCCCAATCTCACCCCAAATCCCTCTCCCCACAGCAGTCGGGCTCCTCGGTACTGTGCCAGCGCTCCCAATCCCCACCCTGACCCCAAACCCCCAATCTCACCCCAAATCCCCACCCTGACCCCGAATCTCACCCCAAATCCCCAGTCTCACCCCCAATCTGACCCCAAATCCCTGTCCCCATAGCAGTCGAGCTCCTCGGTGCCATGCCAGTGCTCCCAATCCCCACCCTGACCCCAAACCCCTAATCTGGCCCCAAATCCCCACCTTGACCCCAAATCTCACTCCAAATCCCCACCCTGACCCTGAATCTCACCCCAAATCCCCACTCTGACCCCGAATCTCACCCCAAATCCCCACCCTGACCCCCAATCTGACCCCAAATCCCCACCCTGAGCCCGAATCTCACCCCAAATCCCAAATCTCACCCCAAATCCCTGTCCCCACAGCAGTCGGGCTCCTCGGTGCCGTGCCAGCGCTCCTCCTCCTCCGCCATCTACATGAACCTCGCGTCCC